CCCCACCCTGGCAGTGTCCCCACCCCGGCAGTGTCCCCACCCCGGCAGTGTCCCCATGCCGGCAGTGTCACCTGCTGTTGTCCACGTAGCGGATGAGCAGCGGGTACAGCGCGTACAGGTCCCGGCACAGCACCGAGAACTCGTCCCGGATGAGCAGCTCGGCGTCCTCGGCCTCGGCCTTGCCCTCGAGCCGCAGCTGCTCCTCCTCGGCCACCACCTTCCCCGCGCGCTTCCGCAGCCGCCCCAGCGTGGGGATGAAGTGAGAGCGCAGCAGCTCGGGCCGGGCCTTGCTCACGATGGGCTGGGCAAACACTGCGGGGGGGTGGGCAACCACCTCAGGGTGAGCCACGGGACCGCCCTGGGCCACCGAAACAGCCCTGGGGCCACCGAAACACCCCCGGGGCCACTAAAATATCCCTGGGGCCACCCAGCTCCAGCCGGGCCAAACACTGCGGGGGGGTGGGCAACCACCTCAGGGTGAGCTATGGGACTGCCCTGGGCCACCGAAACAGCCCTGGGGCCACCAAAACACCCCCGGGGCCACTAAAATATCCCTGAGGCCACTAAAACATCCCTGGGGCCACTGAGCTCCAGCCGGGCCAAACACTGCGGGGGGGTGGGCAACCACCTCAGGGTGAGCCACGGGACCGCCCTGGGCCACCAAAACAGCCCTGGGGCCACCAAAACAGCCCTGGGATAGTCCTGGGACCACTGAGGGACACCAGAACCCCTCCAGGACCACACACGGCCACCACCATCACTTGTAGGTCCTGGGACCACCAACACCCACCCAGGGCCACCAGCACAATCTTGGGACCACCAACACCCACCCAGGGCCACCAGCGGTGGCCACCAGCCCCTGTGGGGTGACCCCCGGCCCCCCTCACCCGCCAGCCTCTTCATCCAGGAGGCCTCGTCGATGCCCAGGTTGTTGACCACGATGTGCAGGATGTGGCCCAGGAGGGCGTTGAGGTGGTGGCTGGTGACGTCGGTGGCCCAGGGGCCCTGGGGGGTGGCATCGGGGCCGCGCTCCCACCAGCGGGGCAGGTAATGGCACAGCATGGGCAGGGTCACCTCGATGACGTGTGGCATCTCCGTGTAGCGAGCCCCCGAGTCCGCCAGGCCACCGATGTCACCCATGAGGCGCTCCAGGTCCGGCAGGTCCGGACACAGCTCCTCCACCCGGGACGGGAGACCCAGAACTGGGGACAGGGGGACAGGGGTTGGGGACAGGGCTGGGGACAGGGGACAGAACTGGGGACACCCCCAGGTCCGGACACAGCTCCTCCACCCGGGACGGGAGACCCAGAACTGGGGACA